GAAGATACTTGACTTTCAAATTGAAAAAAACTTGATGCCCCCTTACTCGGAACGAAATCTATTAGACATGACTTTTTCCTACTTTGGCCCCCGGACTATATGTATGAGAAAGATATGAGAAAAATAAATAATGATGATGTCGGATTACGATAGTTAAGTTGTTATGCGAGATTTCTCTGACGATTACAGATAAAGCGTTTCTGGAGGCAAATGTCCAGAAGGGGTGGGAGAACAAAATACAGCGTTCCTGAAAGCAAAGGTACGCCTGAAGGAAGTGAACAATTGGTCGCGGTCGTATACGGTACGATGTGGCGGGCAGTAGAAGACATGGAATGCCATTGGAAGCTGTTGAGTGACGCCTACTTGAAGACAGAGTTGTTCTATGTCCGGGGTCCTCCATTTGTGGCAGCCTAGTAATTCTATGGGAAACACTGGATTTGACATACACTGCTATAACTCCTTCTGTGCTGCCTAGTATGGCTGTCTGTCGGTCACGTCTGAATACTACATAGTTACGGATATTTACACTGTGGTCGGGGAGGGATAGAATAAAACCAAGTCTCAGGGAGTAAAAGAATAATCAGTTTGTTCTTGTGGTAGTTTGGGCGCTGTTTCCAAACAGTTGCCAGGATACCTTGAAACCATCGGTATCACCAGCTACTGCTCGGTGTCTGAAGTGCAGAAGAATGCTCTCTATGGCTCGGTAGCTATTCTGTGTATAGGTGCTTGATTTGCAATGCTCTGTTGTGGCTGCTGGAGGTATTGCGGTCCCATGTTCCTCCAAACCCTCTCTTGTTTCCTATGATCCATATTTGAGAAAGTGTTGTGTGTTTCTCTCTGTTATTTACATACCATCGTATTTAATGTCCACAATTATGATGCATGAACCAAGTCTCAGGGAGAAAAAGAATAATCAGTTTGTTCTTGTGGTAGTTTGGGCGCTGTTTCCAAACAGTTGCCAAGATACCTTGAAACCATCGGTATCACCAGCTACTGCTCGGTGTCTGAAGTGCAGAAGAATGCTCTCTATAGCTCGGTAGCTATTCTGTGTATAGGTGCTTGATTTGTAATGCTCTGTTGTGGGTGGTGGAGGTCTTGCGGTCCCATGTTCCTCCAAACCCTCTCTTGTTTCCTATGATCCATATTTGAGAAAGTGTTGTGTGTTTCTCTCTGTTATTTACATACCGTCGTATTTAATGTCCACAATTATGATGCATGGCCCCACGTTTGGCTGCTGGATGCTTGTCCGGTGGGTGCCAATCTCCGGCGCTTCGGCTGAGTGCTGATGAATAAAAAAACAGATCGCGTAATGAAGCAGCCTAACGATAGATGTGCAAAGTCATGATGCCTGGTCTGCTTCTGTCCTGGGTTCACTACTCCGTGCAATGCAGCCGTGAGTAAAACCAGCTCAGGCTGAGAGTTCCCACAATGATTGCTTTTCCAAAGCGGGTATTCTGAACTCACTCAGATCGGTCATGGTCTTCATTTCTTTATTCTTTTGATTCTTTTCAGGTTTGTGTTAATTACAGTGAGGAATCCTGCCACAACGCCTGCACAAATACATACGAATAACAGAGCCCTAAAAAGAAATACTAAACAGCATAAGCTGGCTCTGAAAACGCCAGCGTGACGGGGCTCTTGTTGATCAATCTTCAGGGGCATGTCTCTGGCAGCAGCGCTTGCCTTGACTGCCGTGGCCAGGTTCGATTTTAGGCGTCCACGCACACCAGTGACATCTCGACGGAAGTAGTTGTCCATTGCCTGATGTGGCGGGGCGTCTGAGGGCATCCTCAGAACATGACCTAGCATCCGGAAACGGCGGACAGCTACGATGTGCGAGCGTGGCTGTGCGTGCGCTCTGGAACTATATTCTTTGTTGGAGATGATGGAGGGATACCTAATTCCGAAAAAGGTCCGTAGTTGACGTCTATGGAAGACGTTCAGCTTCTCCAGTGCAGCCTCCGTCAGTCCCCAGGTTTCGCAGTTGTGGAACAGCGTTGGGATAACGATGGCATTGCATAGACAAAGCCTTGTTTACTCGGATACAAGTTGACGTCGTATCCAGAGCGAATACATGCGGCCATACGATGTTGATGCTTGGTCTATTCGTGGGCTCAAATCTTCCTCTTCCCCCAAGAGAGAGCCAAGTTGCTTGGATCTTCGCCATTCAGAGGTGGAGGCAGAGATGTGAACCCACTCTGTTTTGCTGAACGTCAATAGACTGTAAGGTTTACTGATACTTCTGTCGAACGGGTCCTTTTCACTCAGCTCCTGAAATCCTCAGAAGTCGACGCGATACGTTTGCAAATCACAAGCGAGTTGTCTCTGTTTTGAGTTAAAATACTCTGCTCGAAAATTGAACGTCGCTTTAAAGCAAGAGAGTGGGTGGGAGAAAGTTTGCTGAGCAGTCAGCCCAACACCAGGAAAAATATGGTCTTAAGTGTACGTGTGAGTATGTTGTTATGTGTGACATTTATAGTATGTAGTGTTTTCAAGACTACACCGTGTCAGAGTGTGAGAATCTTTTTCCGTCTCTGTGAGAGCGACTGTCAAGTGAATGCTGAACATGCGCAGTGTTAGTTTGGTCTGGGAATGAGAGTCGCGTGTGATTGGTCATGTGTTCTGTACGTATTGGTCCCTGATTTGTCGTCACAATTTCTATACAAGCAAACACTCCCGGTTTTCCTGGAAATATCCCGGAAAATCAACGACTACTCTATAAAGTTACTTTTCTGGTTTTTGGGTTTGCATTTGTCACGTCCCTGAACGTGACGATTGCTGCCTGATAGTCATGTGACAGCAGGATCTACATAGTGAGCATCTCTGTGCTGGGCTGTCATGCCCTTTTGATAGAATGTGGTTGGCCAGTGTCTTGTCCCACGTGCTTAGCACGTAAGTTGAGCGACATGCCCTTTCCCACGTAGGTGACATGCCTTCTTGGCATGGCACATCATGTGACCCAAAACCGGAACGAGGTCAGGTGGGTTCTTGCGTTGTACGTTTCTTGGAAGTGCTTCGCTTCCTGGAAATGTGACTCCAGGCGTTGTGCACAACCACGTCACAACGACGTTCTACAGGGTTCCACGATGCCTCCTTGCTTCGTGCATTTGGCAAGAATAACATGACATTGTATAACAAGAGCTAAGTGCAAGAAAGGATACGTGTGCATAAACCAAACCTTCACCGCGCAACAGGTCAGAGTATCACGCAAGCAAGACCAAGAATGCAGCAGAACTTACCATAAGAAGCCACTGAACTATGGCACGTTGGATGAGCGGGTTCCCCACGTCCCAATTTGGTCTTTATTCTCCATGTCTTTCTTTCTCTTTCTTCTCGAATGATTACGTACGTGCATTCTGCTTTTCTGCTGACTGGCTGCTCATATTCCAGTTTTACCGGTTTGTTGTAGTTCCTGGAAATAAATCGTATCATTCTAGGCAATGATCACGCCACATCTCAAAATTGCGCTATAAAAGAAGCTCTCGCTCACTTTTTTACTGCAGTCGAGACTCGGTCTCAGTTCTCTGTCTTGGTTTACTTTGAGCTCGGATTTGAATGACTTCTCACAACGTAAAACTAACAGTCTTTGTCTCTTGATCGTGTGGGGTTGAACTTAGACCAAGCTAGCTATATTGGTTGTCCCCTGGGTTGTGTTGGGCTTGTCGTGAGGCCACCCGTCTATTCAGTTGCCACTCGTAGTGATTCCTGGGTCCGGTCACTGAGAGCCAGGGATGCGACACATTAAATTTGTATTGCATTTTCATCCATTGTGTTTCTTTCCACCATAAAAGAGGCTTCATTCACTACTCTCGGGGTCCTGGGGATTTCAAACAAAAACTCCCGATAAAGTGACGTGTTTTTGTTTGATACAGAATGTTCCTGAAAACTCCATGCATTACCAACGAATGTCCCTTTTTTCTTCAAAACATTACGCTGCGCACTTGCACTTCCGACTATGCACCGCACTTTCAAGACCTGAGAAGCGTAGCCTGCAAGATCTGCCCTGACTTTTCGTTCGACTTTTGTTTTCCATTCTCCTCCTGCGCTCTCATCATTTGTTGTTATAAGAAGACGGTGTCCAGATGTCCAGAGCAGTAACTGGGTGCCGTCAAGAAGTGAAGCCCTAATAGTTGGATGTAAAGGGTTACATGCATTGGATACCTTGACAGCCACGCACAGTAAATGGAGCAGCAAAATGTCCTACGTTTTCAGAGCTGCCCTACAGTGTCTAAAGGAAAATCATGTATCCCTCTATAACTTACAAATGTTCTATAATTTTAGGAACCGCGGAACGAAAACTATAATTATGCCCTTTAGATTACTAATTGAAGCCATGAGTCATTCGCCTATTGCGGATAATTCTCTAAAACAATGACAGATTCTGTTCGAAAAGCATTGAAATTTCCAGACCCTTCAACCTTATAGCACGCACTTCCGTTATTTCTGCTCCATTTTTTCATGTACCTAACAAAAATGGCGGTGGCCAACATAATAAAATTTTAACTACACGAACCATAAAAAACGGGTTTTGTACCTTTTCTACCGCCATGATCCGCCAAACACTATGAGACTATGAGTCCCTGGGGAAGTCCCCGTTTAGGTATACTGTTTAACGTCATATTCAGTTCTCACGCAATTTGTAACAATTCAAGCCAGGATATATTCTCATGCTTGGGTGGTGAGTTATTTTTCTGCAGTGTCAAATAAAGCAACTTCAGAAATTGCGTTTTCTTAGCTTTGCAACAAACCTCAAACCTCATGCTTGACAATGGAAAGAAAAATGACGAAAACTATATGTTACAGTGGTATATGTGAAGTGTGCAACCTAACCAACCAAGTTGCATATGAATCATGTTGTGGTTAGGAGTCTAGGTTATTCCTGAAAACAGCGTCATGTTTCGGCCTTTTAGATTAGAACAACTATACCCTAGACTCGGTGTTTTGTGCACTACCCGGAACTAAGCAAGAACAACATTGTCTTTGTGCTTTGTCGTTTGTAGATATTTGGATAGTAATCAGATCCAGACTTTAAGTGACGGTGTGTTCTCTGGTCTAACAAACCTCGATTATCTGTGAGTATTATTATCTGCTGCACTGATTCAAGGAAACAGTTGTAGACGCTGTGTTAAAATGCTTTGTTATGAAGCCTCTGATTCGCGTTAGTGTCAGGAACGAGTGACCACACGTCACGAGGACAACTACTTTTTCTTAACTGTATATGTGGGGAAAGAATTCAGGTGGACACACCCATTCCCATACCGCTGCACATCACATCCGAACCAGTTCCGTTATTTTTACAACGTTTCGGCACTTGGCCATCGTCAGGTAATAACAATGAATACCGTGGAAGCCACACAAGAGCAGTATATATAGGCAGAGTGTAGCGCCAAAAAGATGCGAATTATGTCACCTAGTATGCAGAAACGGGGGGGGGGGGGGTACAGAGAGAGAGAGAAAAGGTGCAACTAGCACATCACAGAGGAGAAGGCAGCGCGCATTGTGCTCTGTGAACGGCGTTACACAGAGTGTAGCGCCAAAAAAATAAAATAATGATGCGAGTTATGTCACCTCTAAACAGAGGGGGAGAGAAGGTGCAACTGTGCACATCACGGAGAAGAAGAGCGCGGCGTTGTGCTCTACAAAGTGAGGGTACATGCCAAATAATTATAGTGTAAACTCTAGCACATTACAGGAGGGGAGCACGAAGGCCCATGCGCCATGGCACTATGAGGTTAAACTTCCATGCCAAACTGTTTTTTCACCCAGTTACCCAGAGTCACCCAGTTCAAGAGTACCCAGAGTCACCCAGTTACCCAGAGTCACCCAGTTACCCAGAGTCACCCAGGTACCCAGAGTCACCCAGAGTCACCCAGTTACCCAGAGTCACCTAGTTACCCAGAGTCACCCAGACTCCACCAGTTACCCAGTCACCCAATTGCCCAGTTACCCAGTTGCCCAGTTACGCAGTTGCCCAGGTACCCAGTCACCCAGTTACCCAGTTACCCAGAGTCACCCAGAGTCACTGAGTCACCCAGAGTCGCCCAGTTGCCCAGTTACCCAGTTAGCTAGTCACCCAGTTACCCAGTCACGGAGTCACCCCGTAAGCTTATGGCGTCTCATCTCACCTAGTCAGGTAATGACAATGCATATCGCCTAAACCTGCCGACAACCTTACGCTGCCACCCTGTGTTCAATGTGACCACGCTGAAACCATACGAAGTGAACGCAATTCCTGGGCGTCGCCAGCCGCTTCGGCCACCTGCAACTGATTTGGACGGCAAAACAGGGTACATTGTGGAGGAAATCTTGGATCACCGAGTATGAAAAGGCACACCCGAGTTTTGGTTAAGTGGAAGGGTTATGACGAGACAACTTGGGAGCCAGAGAATTTTCTCAAGGACGAGTCCGGAAGAAGCATTGCTCCACTTGTGTTCTTAACCCTTTCAGCCCTGACCGGAAAATCACCTCCCACTGGGCCAAAAATGGCAATTTTTGAAAATGCATATTCTGGTCCAAAATTGATTGGAGATGTTGGGTATGGACATATGCACTGTGAATCCAAAGAAATTTTGTAGGATTTCATTGTACGAGACTCATAACACCATATTTAGATATGCGACTTTTGGCGATTTTTCCTCAAAATTCATTCAATTTAGGCAATTGACGACAAAGATCAGACAAGCAATGGCAAGCAGTGCTATAACTGGTCAGTGTTGACTTCAGAATGGAGAAATGTCATATAACAAGCTTGATATGATCCTGGTGTTCTACGGCAACCTAGACTAGAGTACAGCAACTCGTTTTATACGGCGCTTGAATCATATGCGACCGCGCGATCCAGAATGGGTCTTTCTTTTTTCTTGGCGCCTCGTAAAGCTTGAATCCTCCAGCAGCCCTACCTACTTCAAGACAAAACCATGTGATGGACAGTGAGGATGCCGAGTAACTGGAGTAACAACCACAGCAACTGCATCGGCTATAATAGCAGCCGGTGCAGTGGCAGCGGTTGGCTCACTGTGCTCGGCGCATCCCAGGGTGAATCATCACTGGCCGCACGCGTACATACGTACGCGGCACAGGTAAAGTCATATTGATAGAGAATGCAATACAGCTCATTCTCTGATTTGGACACTCACTGGCAAGACAATCCAGCTACCAAAATAGTCAGAAGCATTCCCTAAACAGCCGAGTGCATACTGCGTACCGGTGTACGTACGCATGAAAATTCAAGAAACAATCGGCTGTGCAATTTCTGATAGTGGTTCAAAATTGCACAATTGTTGACTATTCTGGATTATTCTGGATTCATATTAGATAGCAATCACCATTCTGTAGGTGCCTGGCTCTGTACTCAACATACAATACTTACATGTATGCACATCTCTATTGTGATCTGCATGCATGTCTGACCAGTACACTTGATTTCAAATTCAAATATTTTCAAAAATCTGACCTTCAAATTTGATCGCAGTTTACTTGAGGAACTAACGTTACTTCAGCAAACGGGCTCACGACAGATAGCTCCTGCTCAGAACACCATGCATAGGTGTCAGAGACTTCAGCATCGCTTTCCAAATCTCTTTGGTCTCCAGCATCCCCTGCGTCCGAGCCAGCTGCGATCTTTTGAATAGCAGCAAATTCGTAATCCTCAGAAAACGACTCCGACACAATTTCGCTGTCTCCAGAATCATCCTCAGAGTCATTACCCGCCTCACACTGCTTCACAGGACTCCTTCCATCGACACAGAGTAGTTGAGCTACTTACCTTGCCGAGAAACAGCAGGGCAAGATGACGAAAACGAACTTTGATCAAAACAATTTATTTGAACGATATGCCAAAATACGCACTTCAAACTCGATGCTCGCGGCTGTTCTGCTGTGCAGACTGGCCACATACGCTGCGTACACGTCGATCAGGTCCTTCAGCCCACTGAGGAACAGTTCCGGGCCCCACTGATGTTGAGGCATCAGTACAAACGCGACGTACACCGAGGACGTATATATACGTCGTCAGTGGGGCAGGTGCACACGTCATGACGTATATATACGTCGACAGTGGTGAAAGGGTTAAGTATTTCATTCTATTTTGTTTTGCACAATCGAGATGAGGGGGATGGTGTAACCGTTACACCTTCTTCTGCCTTCCTATCACTGCACACCTATGTACGCGCCTGTCACTGCACACCTATGTACGCGCCTATCACTGCACACCTATGTACGCGCCAATCACTGCACAGCTTGTGCGCGCCTATCCGTTGCACACCTTGTGCAACTTCTAGCACTTATTGTTCATGGGTAACCTTGGCACCTGTTATTCTACTTACTGTATAAAACTGCTTCTTTACTAATAAAGAGACGATTATTCCTCAGCTGACTAAGTGAGACGTTTAATGGGACGGTCACAGCAGCGGGAAGCGTGTATAAAACGGGAGTAGCGGAGACAGAAGCGGCATGGACATGATCATTCTCCACATCCATGTCCACCTGCTGTATGCTGGTCCCAGCCACACCCTCGCACAGCTTCGCCTCAACTTCTGGGTTCGTCATGGTTGTCAGGCTGTTCGCTATGAACTGAAGTTATGTCTTGTGTGCCTTCGTCAAGACTCACCACTGTATCTTCTTCCTTTGATGCCGCCTCTACCTGCTGAGCGTGTCAACCCTGCTCATCCATTTGAGTTCACCGGTCTGGACTACTTTGGACCATTGCTCATCACGCAGTCCGACTCCTCCACGACCAAGGTGTGGGTCTGTTTATTCACCTGTTTCGCTGTCCGTGCAGTCAATCTCGAGTTTGTGGATGACTATGATCGTACCTCTCTTCTTCTCTTGGTATGATCATCTCAAGAGCTAGGTGGAGGCTCTTTGGGCACGCCCTTCAGCTCCCGGCGAGCTATTCACCATTACTGAGCATGGGAGCGTGCTTCGCAGAGCCTGGTCCAGGGGGCTGGAGGGGCCGACGAAGACAAACGCTGGAAACGCTACTCGTGACGAGATGATGCCAACCAGAATGAATTTTCCTTGTCAAGCATAGTCGGTCTGGAGGCATTATGGGCCCTTACTGTTGACCGAAGCGGTGGGTGGGCTTCTGTGCCCGTGTGGTGTCGGCACCTTAGTTTTGTCTTCTTTTCGTCTTTTTCTGTAACTGTTGTGGACTTGTGTATCGATTTGAAGTGGCTTATGCGAACACTTTCGGCTGGTTTGCATGATTTGCACCATCTCCACAACTCAATTGGCTGTCTTGAAATGCTATGAGATACAGACATATATTTAAAAAAAGTGTCGAGAACGCCCCGCAATTCGCAACGCTGCTACTTCCAAACCAGCTTGTCGCGCACAGTACAAAGTAGTGATAGCGACTTCGGCGATGGTATTTTAGGAAAGGATTTGCTCCCCACACTGGAGCTAGCGCCTCTGCGCCGATTTGACTTGACACTTGACTCAGACTCAGGACTCGCTATAATACCAGCGAATCTTCGACTGGGCTAACTTGCAAGAAATTTTGTTGTGCGTGGAGGTGAGAGCGTTGTGAATAAGAGAGGGTCGTCGACGTCTGTTTTCTCCGTCCCAGAGCGACATTCACTAAGCATTTGTTATGCTGAAATGTGAGTGTCTGTGCTAAGTTATACCCGTGGTGATGTTTGTACCTGGAGAGCACTATATAAGTGATGCTCTTCAGCACAATATTCTTCAGCCTACTCAAGCTCAACTGATGAGGTGTGATTTCCCCGAAACGTTGTATAGAGAGTGGCGCAGGGTTTCCGAAACGAATAAAATGGCCTTCTCGAAACGAATGTTAAATGGCCTTCGGAAGTGCTTTGGATGGCAGTCGTGGGTAAGTCAAGTATCAAGTCACTGGATAAGCCCGAGCTCCAGTGTGGCGTGAAAATCCTTCGTAACAAGACATCGTTGAAGTAGCTGCCACTACATCTTCCATTTTTCCGATTATATACCCCGAGTTTCCTCTGATCTCTTTTGTCCTTTGTAGATGGCTGAGGAGCAATCCTCTTATTCTGAAACCAAGTCTCTATGTCAATTTATATGGTATCGGCACTATCTCCACCAACGTCTGTTCCGGGTGTGTCATTCTTGACTCACGGGTTGCGGTGTACTTGAATCAAGGTATGCTACGACATTGATGGTGAAAATCATAAAAAAAGAGCCAAAGCAATGCATGGTACATTGTATGTGGAATTCTTTCATCATCCCCTATTGTTATCAAGATAATGTTTTTGTGTTTGTATTTATATCATTATCTCATGGCACATCATGATGACGGCCAATAAAACTGAGACAAGGGTGAAAGCCAACCACAGCAGTAAAACAGATAAAAGAATACAAATAAGAGGCAAAGAAGGCAGAGGAGGAGACAAACCAGCAGGATATACATGAAACCTATAATTGAGCAGAGATTTTAGCAACAAAATTATCCATCGACGTGCTGGTCTTGGCCTGCGTTGGTAATGTTGCCCAAAACACATCGCCAGCAAAGATCGGGGATCAAGTGAATAGGGTGGAGGCAGCGCGTGGGAGACTGAGAGAGTTCCGGGTATTCCGTGTTTTGGAGAACCAATTATAAGCCTGCATATGCAAGGGTATTTTATTTACTGTATTTAATCCACTGTTCCTGTTCCTTTTCCCTTGCCTGTATTTCACCTGATGAGAAGGCTTGAAAGTATACTTGTGAAGACCAAAACTTTCAAGCTGTTTGTAATGAGCCTGAAGTGTGTCCTTTTTATGAGTATTATCGCATTTTTGTCTCAGAGGAAACTGTATTTTATTTAGTAATATTTTATGTATGAGAACACAGAGGTGGTACTTATGTCGAGTGGAAAGGGGACTGATCTTGGCAATTTCGTAAAGACTAGCGGAGGGAAAGCGACGATCTTTGCTAAATAAGATTTTAAGGAGCATGCGGTTATGGGTTTCTAGCTTGTTCAATACAGTAGTAGTTATGCCAGACCAAGCAGTATCACAGTAGTCAAGTAAGGGCAATATATAGCAACGATAAAACAAGCGTTTGCAAGAAAGAGGAAGATGTCTACAGTGGGCTTGAAGAGCCCCAAGGATGGAGCTTGTGCGCTTGCAGACATACTGCACATGGGGTGACCACGACAATTTAGAGTCAATAATAACGCCAAGATGCTTATGCTCTTCAACAATACGAATAGCAACACTTGAAGAAGGAAAACAAAGTGGCAGGGAAGGGGGAGAAGGGGAAATGTACATAGCTGCCGTTTTATCAACGTTTGGCTGCAACTTCCAATCATGCATCCAGGTTATAATGTTGATTCAGAACGAGCACCGTTTCAACAAAATTAATCACTGTGTTACTAAGAAAGGGGACGTGGAGAGAATAATCTTAATAAAGCAATGAATACAACTCTATTTGCACTCATATCACAACCATGGCGACGATTTAAGTATTATAGAACGTTTTTTTGTCACAATTATCAATGGAATTTTAGACTGGAGAGAATTATGAAACTACAATAAAATGTATACACTCGGAGTGAAAAATCACGAGGATAGGAGAATGGAGAGTAGTAGGGTGGACACACCCATTCCCACAGCACTGCAAGCTTTCGGCTAAAAGAAGTCCCCTCACACCAGAACACAGGGGTTTTATAGTATTGAGTATGGAAAGTATTTCGACAAGAGTGTAGACAAGAATGAAAAGGAGAACAGGACAACAACAACTCAGACAACACTAGAGATCCACAGGAGCATGCGCTCTTCTATACATGGGTGGCTCTCATCGTCAAGGGGAACGAGCGGGAAATATGAATAGTGAGTATGTACAGGTCGTAGCATAAATACACCTATTACACTGTGCGCCCCCCCCCCCCCCCCAAGAAAATTCACGTCCACGGGAATGGACGAAATATCTAGGAAACAAACAAAAGAAAAAAACAAATAATAAACTCAGTCCAGGATATAGTCAGCTAGTCGAGCAGGTGCAGTGCGAACACGGCCAGAACGAAGAGAAACAGGAGAAGAAGTACTAACTAGACCAGAGGACGGCGGCTGAAGTGGCGAACCATCATCAGGTAGCGTCAGCGGGTCAGAACGAGAAGTAGTAAGGGCGGGCGGTTGACAGTCGGGAGAATGGTATACGGCTTCAGGCGGACGAACAAACTTGCCACTGGCAGCATCATAACTGGAGAAACTCTCAGCCAGAACAGGATCAGACGGAGCAAGAAGATTCTGAAGCTTGAAACAATCAGGTGACGACGGTCCAGCGGCAGAGGCACCAAGAGGACAAACAAAAACGGCAGGAGGAACAATCTCAGCAGCCGGAGGAACAACAGGAGCAAGTGGCACTTCAGCAGCAGCTGAAAACGGAACATCACGGGCAATAGACGGCGGATTCGGCGGAGGAGACGGCACATCTGTCACCAGGACAGGGGGACATGGCATCAGAATTCCTGTGTCGAAACCCCGGGCGATGAACAACAGTAAAGTCGAATGCGGCCAAAGCCTCTATCCATCGAGCTTTCCGACCACGGGGTCCTTGCTTGCCCGCAACGCAGTTAATGCAGAATTATCTCTCCGAAGTCCGGGAATGCCATAACCGGAGCACTGGATAGCGCAGACTTGAGGGCGAGGAAGGAAGCGTCGCAAGCTTTCGTCCAAAAAAATTGCGCATTCTTGCCAGTGAAAGCTGTCAGTGTGGCTGACCGCTGCGCAAACCCACGGATGAATCGGTGGTAATAACCCGCGAAACCAAGGAATGACCTGGCGGCAGTGACGGACTTCGGCGTCTTCCACCCAAGAATCGCGGAAACCTTGTCCGGACCGGGGGCAATTCCGTCTGCCAACACGCGGTGCCCAAGGAACGCGACATCCGGCCGGAAAAAGGAACATTTCTCCTAATTGAAACGCACGCCTGCTGAACGCACACGCTCAAAGACTCGCGACAAAATTGAAACTTGGCCTGACAATGTTTCGTTCGCATTTAAAACATCATCGAAGAAGACACGGCAAAAAGATTGAGCAGCAGCATTACAAAGCCCAAGAAGAACAGCTTCCATAGCTCTCTGGAAGGTGGCAGGACCATTCCTGCACCCCATCGGCAGCACTGTAAACTCATACAGGCCCAAAGGTGTTGTAAATGCGGTCTTCGCTCGGTCGTCCGGATCTATTGCAATCTGCCAATACCCAGACGCAAGATCGAGCGACGAAAACCACTTACAGTAACACAGGGAATCGACCATGTCCTTCACCCGTGGGATCGGATAGGTACCAGATTCGTGACACCGTTTAATTTACGATAGTCAAAGCAAAGTTGCAAGGAACCGTTCTTCTTAGGAACCAACACGATCGGAGACACCCACGGACTGATAGACTCTTGGATTATACCCTTCTCGAGTAACCAACCAATAACGTCTGCAGAGCAACGCGACGGAGATATGGAATGTGCCGAGCTGCTTGCTTAATAGGAGTATGTGTGCTTGTATCAATTTTATGCGGAAATATGTCACAATAGCCATAATCGTCTTCATGCAATATAAATAGGTCGTGATTATCAATAAGGAGTGTGGTGAGCATGCTTTTGGTATCGGATGAAAGGTTTTGTTGTGATTTAACGCATTCATGAATGGTAGCCTCGCGCTGTTCTGTGAGTTCAGGTGTGTGATCAGTGTTGACGGATGAAACAGCGGCGTCATCTTCATCATCATCATCCATAATGAGAGGAGACAGTTCGGCAATATTGGGGTTTTCATGTATAAGAATATTATGCTCAGCATTATTCTCAATTGTCATGACAATGTGTGAGTGATCGGGATCCACTGTTACAAGTGCAGGTGTCACCGACAACGTAGGAAACTTATCCACAAACAACTCTAGTGGATCAGCAACATTATCCAGAGTTTCCGAACAAGCATCCACATAGACACATGGTACTAGCACAACATGGCCAGCAGGCACCGACAACTCATCGTCGAGGGCAACACGAGAAGAATACGACGAAACAAGTACATCGTGGGAGCATGCATCAGATTCAGAATGGGGAGTTTGAGTACTACACGAGGAGGAAGTATTACGCGGAACAATACGATCATAGGGGGTACGTGACGGAGGACACCCAGAACCAGAAACATGCAACGGAACAGACACATCGCCAAACATCACAACACCACGAGCAATATCTAATACACCACCATGCTGCAACAAAAAATCGGAACCAAGAATCATGTCACAGTGAATACCAGGAGACACAACAACCGTGTGCTGGAAAGCCAAGTTTCCAAGCGACATACACAAATCCATGGATGCAACGACAGGAAGTTATGCGCCATTGACTGCGCACAACCGCGGAGCAGACTCTAGAGAAGGTCGCTCTGTCAAATTAGGCAACAATTTACAATGCACTAACGACACACTTGAACCAGAATCAACAAAAGCAACATCAGGAGACGAAGACGAAGACAAAAGACAAACATCAATGTGCACAATAATGGGTGAGATAGCACCACATGCCTCCTAGAGGTGCTCCACTCGGACGACTGACGGCGGCCCCGTGTCACCAGTCTAACCTAGTTTTTTGAGGAGTGTGGGTAAGAGGCAATGAAGTGGCCCTCTTCACCACATCCATGGCACACTTCACGGACAGGCCTGGAAACACTCTGGCCACGACTACAGCTAGGGGCACCAGCACCACGAGCAACAACACGTACATGGTCTTGCTGGGGTTGGGTGGGGCGATACATGCTCACGCTCTCCATTTTCGCCTCCAAAGCAGAGAGACGCGAATCAAATTTCGACAAAAGCGTCTCGCTCAGATTCCGCTTTCAAATGCAGTGGACCGATTGTTGTGTAGGGGTCACGACCACGAGCAGTGCGACCGGGCTTCATTTCCGGAGCCACGGCAGCAGCAGAAAATACGGGCTGTGCGTAGGATCTACTCAGTAGGTACAGTGCGGCACTGCTCGCGAGCATAGATAGCACCTACCTCGATGGCCTTTTGGACCGCGGCATCCAAATCAGTGGGGCGAGGTGATGCCAACGCCAAGCGCAAATCCTTTGATGCCTGCCCATCAATAAATAATTGCAAAAGCATGAAATCAAGCAGTGGCCCTTCCTGTCCTGGATAGGCTCGACGAGTTGCGTGGCATACC